CTGGTTAAGCTTTGGACATACCCACATCAAGTCAACTGGCACAACTTCACTTATTTTGACCAAAGGCTTAGTAATTTATATAGCTCAAGACGAAGCCAAGAAAGAGATGAACAAGATATTTTCTCCTTTGATTGCCTGAGATTTTTTTAAATAAATATCCTAAAAGCATCTACCCCTACCATCACTAACAGGACTGCAAATGTTAGTTTTGTATTTATATAATGGTTCTAACCTGTAGAGACGGGTTCAAGATGAGGGGTATCTGCAGGATAGGGTGAAAATCAACTGTCAGAACAAAACTTACTGTAGTGTGCTGACTGGCCTCCAGCTGCAGCCCCAAAGAGTTATGGGCCTCTGGTAATTCCTATGTATTATGGGTGGGCAGGTAATTGAGGTGTTCTGGGGTAACTGAAATGCCGTTCCATGCCTTCACTTAGGTGACTGACACACCCCAGGTGCCACATTCAGAACAGTTATCTAATCTCCCCTTCCAGTTAAAGGGGGTAAAATCAAAATAGTCCATAAAGTCTAGGGAATGAGTCCTCCCATCGTTAACTTCTGTGAAAGGTCAAAAACCCCACCATTCAGGAGCTCATCTCCTCCCTACGCACAGACTGCACAGTCAGGTGTAGCCATCCATGCTGTGAGCACTCCCACTCTTCCTTCCTGGGATGTTGCTGACTGTGAGTAGACCAAATACAGTCTCTGCTAGTACAGTTCATCTCAAGAGTGAAGGAGCTGATGTAGGTTCACACTGATGAGTGCTTAGAGAAATGATACTTCAGGCTTTGGAATAAAACTCAGGAAATAAGGGTTTAGGTCCTGGCTTTGTCAGACACTTCATATGAAACCGCCTATACAGAACAGGGGATTATTCACACTCAAAAATTTAGAGTCAAGAGTGCCAAGAAACAATTTTCCAGATAAACTGGTGTGCTGGCTTTTGCACACAGTCCTTTCTCTGTCAGGCCTCATGAGGAACAGCTGCCACCAAGGGCCATTAAGTTTAAATGAGGTAGAAGAAAGGACAAAGCAGAAATATGTTGTAATTTGAAGTAACATGGTTTGTGGGCCCAGACTGAGACAAGTTGGTGTGGCTACTCTATTCTAACATTAGGATCAAAAGAAGGTCTTAAGGTGAAGGAGCGCAGTATCCTTTTCCTTATCTTCTTTGTTGATTATATGTCATTTTTAAGTTGCCTGATTAGATTTAAGCACAATAGTTCCTGCCTGCAGGCAGAAATAGGGACCAATGAACTTCTGAGGTCACTTTGGACTTATTCTCTGTGTGCCAGGATGGTTTCATGGTTGTAGTCCCACTTGCCCTTCATACTAGAAAGAAAGATCTGAGTAATTTAGCCTCCTTGGGATGCCTTCTTGTCCAACTTAACATCATATACAGTTGTGTCTAAAAGGCTGAGTTGAAATTTTCATCCATGTGAAAACTAAAAATCAGACTGCTTCAGTGCAGCAGCACCTAAAGATCATTTATTTGCAAACTACCTGGCTGTGATATATTCTTTGAAAGTCCTCTGCTTAGCCTCTGGGCCAAATCTCGGAAAATGTTTATCTGCTTGCATTCTCTCTGAGAGAAATAGAAATTAGGCATGCAAATACTTTGATGTATTAATCTCTTTGTCTGATCCATTAGTTTATGTAAAGGAGCCATTTCTTTCTTTTTTTCCCCATCTTTTGTCTCCTTACTGAGAAGCCTGAAATACCGTATTTTCAGGCAAACCACAGGGATTTGAACCACAAGCATCCAAAGCTTAACTTTAAAGTACTAGAGCTTGAAGGTAGAGGGATCTGAACAGGCTGGATCAATGGACTGAGGACAATTGCAGGCTCAACAAGTCCAGGCGCCTGATCCTGCACTTGAGTCACAACAACCCTGGATAGCACAACAGGCTGGGGGAAGAGTGGCTGGAAAGCTGCCCAATGGAAAAGGGCCTGGGGATGCTGGATGACAGTGGCTGAACATGAGCCACTGTGTGCCAGGTGGCCAAGAAGGCCAGTGGCATCCTGGCCTGTATCAGAAATAGTGTGGCAGCAGGACCAGGGAAGTGATGTCTCTCTGTGCTCAGCACTGGTGAGGGTACAGCTCAAATCCTTTGTTCAGTTTTGGGCCACTCACCCTGAGAAAGACACTGAGGTGCTGGAGCATGTCCAGAGAAGGGCAATGGAGCTGGGGAAGGGTCTGGAGCACAAGTCTGCTGAGGGTGTTTAATATGGAGAAAAGGAGTCTCAAGGGAGACCTTATTGCTCTTTGCAACTAACTGAGGGAGGTTGTAGCCTAGTGGGTGTTGACCTCTTCTCTCAAGTAACAAAGGATACAAGAGCAAATGGCCTCGAGTTGCACCAGGGGAGGTTTAGATTGGATATTACAAAACATTTTTTCATGGAAAGGGTTGTCATGGAACTGGCTGCCCAGGACAATGATGGAGTCACCATTTCTGGAGGTATTTAAAGGATGTATAGATGTGACACCTGGGGACATGGTTTAGTGGTGGACTTGGCAGTGCTGGGTTAACTCAGGGGTCCTAAAGGTCTTTTCCAACCTTAAAGATCCTTTGATTCTATGTGAGGTAATTGTTATCTACACTTTTTATCATGCTCATATTGTAACACCTCACCCAACTAGCACTGTCATTTTAATGTGACTTCTCTACACTATACCAAAAAGCAAATAGTAAGAAATTACAGTTCTCTCTATCTGCTATGCTTTTTATCAATGTGTGGCTAAATAGCTGTGTGAACTTGCACAGCAGAGAAAATACACTCTTTGTACTTCTTTCCAGGGAAAACATAATTGTTTTGAAAGATATCAGCTTGTAAATTTTACGTTTTATGGTTTCTACAATATAGCTATTCAATAGAAGAAAGAGTAGAACAGGTGAAACAGGAGGGTCTCATCTTTCCCCCTAAAACAGGGAAGGAACAAGGTCTATAAAGTTTTCAAATACCACTAAGCAAAGCATTGGGTTTCTGAGTATTCCTTGTTTGCACTGGCTCATTAACACACACACACACACACACACACACACAAAAAAAAAAAAAAAAAAGGTGTTAACTCAAGATCACTCCTATTTTTTAAGTATTTGTGATATTAATCTCAGAATCCAAACAAAAGCATTGCATGGAAAAAAAAGACTGAGACTAAAAAAGCTTTTCTGCCATAGCAATATAAAGAATGTTTGTTCCCATCACCAAACCAAGTTTCTGAGATCCTTTTCTTAGTCCAGTTCTTCTACATCCTTTTATCTACAAATAAATGTACCTCAGATGAAGTGTTAATTTAAATACAGGCATGTACAAAATTAATTGCTGTAAAATAGTCCCTGTGAAAATGAGACCTTGGGCAAGGAAAGAGGTAAGGTTTAGTGGAATTTAACAGATTAATATAACAAAACTACAAGCCTCAGGCTTCCCAAAATCAGGAGGCAAAGCTCGAACATTTTATGATGAAGAAATCATGGAGTCATAGAATGGTTTGAGTTGAAAGAGACCCTAAAGATCATTTTTTTCCAACTGTCCTGGGCAGGGGACACCTCCCTGGGCAGAGACATCTTCCACTAGACCACGTTACTCAGAGACCCATCTTACCTGGTCTTGAACAACTCTTAGGGATGGGGAGTCCACAATTTATTTGGGCAACCTATTCCAGTGCTCCACTACCCTCACCCACTCAGGAAACACTGAGGCATATGAGTAACCCTGCAAATATGAGCAGTCCCACAGCGTGACCCATACACGGACATTCGGAGGAACAGGCTGTTGTTACAGGAGATGGGATCCATCTCTCCTAATTCTGCAGGACAGACATCTTCACCTGAGCTGATTGTCTGAGGCTGCCTTTGGAAGCAGTGGAGGGCAAAAGGCCACTTCATCTCATCCTTAGGCAGATGTACAGACAGCAAGCTTCGAGTGATAGCTCACACAAATATATCTGCATTGTTAATATTTGCCTTCAATGAGATGAATCCCACCTATTACCACAGTGTCCTCAAACTGAAGCTCACAACTCAGGGACCCAAGGGGAAATCAAGCATTGCACCTGCCAGTGGTGTGGGAGCTGCCATCTCACTGCCTGCAGGTGCAGAACAAACATGACACAGGCTCCCTGTAGCATCCACCGGGTGTAAAAAGCTCTGGAGAAATGGATTTGTGAAAGGTCACAGGCAAAGCAGGTTTGGATCAGGCTTCTCAGCTAAGGTAGGGAATGTTTAGCAAACAGATAATTATTTCATTGGTGCCTGTGAGGCTTCCCCAAGAGGTGGGGGCTGGCTTCCTCCATACTGTGCAGCAGCAGGCTCCAGACACATCCAAAATGAGGTTCAATGAGATGAGATTTTAAGAATACCAGAGGAATTTGCATTAGATAACATTTTCATATCTTCAAACCCTTAATTTCTGCTTGCAAATCTCATCCCCAAATCCCCAAAACACCCAAAATTAATTTCGTTTGAATAAGTCAGGGCATTAAAGACTTAAATACTTAGAAGTCTTCTATACTAAAATAACAGGCTGCCCAGGGCAGTGATGGAGTTACTGTCCCTGAAGACATTTAAAAGATGTGTAGATGTGGCACTTGGGGGCACGGTTTAGTGGTGGACTTGGCAATGGTGGGCTAAAGGTTGGACTTGATCTCAGAGGGCTTTTCCAACCTGCATGATTCTGTGATTCTGTGATTCTGTGAAGTGGTAAGTCTTCTCAAAAAGCTGGGCCATTTTACCACATTTCTCATGATAACAACTTGACTTCCACACTAAAAAAGGACAGTAAGTATGAAAGTGGAAGGATTTGTTTAGGGGAGTGTGTGTAAACAAAAATAAATAGGGTAGAATGTGGTCGTGTTGGATCTTAGTTTTTCTAGGTTTGAGACAAGTGTAATTCCAGGGACAAAGAAATAAGTGAAGAATACTTATTTAATAGAAAGTCATCTACTTTTAAAATGAGTTGAGTTTTATTTTGCTGGGTTTATTAGAATTTTATTAGGAGCATCTCAGATGTTTACAGTACCAATATCTGAGAGAAACATACTAGGAAACAGTGCAAGGGAAAGGCTACAGAGTTCATTTTCCATGCAGTCACCTCTACTCTATCCCATTCATATTGTATCACAGATACGTATTTATTTGACATAGTTATCTGACAAAGTTTTAACACTGTAAGAAATAACATAAGCAGAATTTATTCAAAAAACCATGTTTTTACTGTAAGAACGGCTGTTAACAACATTAAAATTTGAACATGAATGTGTCAGTCAGAGCAAAACAGTATACAAAAATATTTGCTGCCATTTCTCCAAGGTTATAAGACAAAAATAAAAAGCATGTTATCTGCAGTTTTATTTCCCATTTCAATGTTATTTCCTCTTCCTTGCTAGAGAAAAGCCTTCAGTCACATGGAAATAAATTTTAGGTTTAGAGTAGGTAAGACTTTATAAACTCTAAAAAGACTTTTTTCTTTTTTCTCATCTCCTTTTTTTAATTAGCCTTACTAGTATATAATTAAATCTTTGCAGGCCAGACTTTTCGACTTCCTGCTGGCACAAAAGGATTAAATACATGAGACTGACTAGGATGCCACTCTATAACTCAAGGTGATCCTGGCATGTCCGTTCCTCTGCTGCCCCAAGGCAAAAAAGCAGTAGGGATTTTCTTTATTCTTTTCTAATCCTCTCGGTTTCAGTAAGTGACAGTGTTAGTAGCACTGCAGAGGAGTGCTGTGGTGTGCCTGCAATGTGGCTGTGTGAGCTGCAGGGTTGGGCACCACAGCGCTGCTGAGGCTCTTTTTAGGGTTCAGACACAGACATCAGTTATAGCATTTACAGAGTTGTTCATCTGGTCAAATGCCCAGGATGCAACTCTATGTGAGATAGCCCCAAAAACTCATTTTACAATTAGCAGAGGGAAACAGGCAGCTTAAAGATATGAGTCATCTAACACCCTACATCTAAAAAGAGTTGTTGAAAATGGGTAAGATCAGTTAAACAGCTTAAAGTAAAACAAAGAGGAGGAAAAAAGTGTTGTTTCTCCCCATTGACTATATAGTGATCCAAAAGTGGCTATTCCACTGTACCCATTTATGCCACAGGTGTTTCACTCTCTAGGGGTCTAATTCTCTGTGCCACAATTCACAACTGATGTGTCAACTGATTTTCAGACATTTTTCCTTCTGTCTCAGTTGCTTGGATCATAATCTATGGCAAATCAAATCTTTCCTTTGCCTGTCTCATCTGCTTCATCAGTAGCAGATGTTTATCTAGACCAGTAGATTCAGGAAGTTAAAAGTTATTTTAACAGTTACCCTTTGAGCATAGGGCTATCTCAAGCACTTAGCAGTGTGTGTTTATATGTTATATGAAGGTAGTTGGTGTTTGTAATAAATCTCCCAGGATTTCTGCAAGCACTTGGTGCTAGTTGTCTTTTTTCTCTAGTTGAATTATGTCGACAAGACCCACTGAGTTGAAACCAGAGGGAAGTATTTTCTCTGCAGATGTCCTCAAACCTTTTTATTCATTAGTATGCACAGGTTTCCTTCATGTCTGCCTAGACTGAAGTAAAGAAAGTTAGTTGTAAGTTATGAAACCACCTAAGCCAACTTCATCTTTCTACTGTAGTGCAAAAAAAGACATATATTGATCAGTCAGGTGTAATAGGTTAGGCATTTCACTTCCCAGCTCCTTTTTTGCTCCCATAAAAGCAATTCAGGAAATATGAAACAGAGAGAAGGAAAAAGGGGTGTTTTACTGCTGGGGTAATATCTCTGACTCTCTTAATGTTGAGGAGTATGACCAGAAAGGTGAGGGAGCCAGAAATGAAATTGCCAGTCCAAGGAATGAGAATTCTTTTGAGTAGTGTCAGCAAAGTATTTCCCATTTACTTCTTTGCAAGACTTTCTACAGTAAGCATTGACAGCTGGGCAAGAATTGATGAAGTAAACCTGTGTTCCTGGACTGATGGAAGAGGTAGCTGGAAGTGTACTTTGAGATTCCATTAAATTAAACTTAAGGGTCCTGGCATCTACCTCAAACTTGTACAAGACACTTCAGATGCCATTCAAATAGCCACAAATATCCATGCCTTCACTAATAGTTGGAAATTTCATCCTTAATATAACTTATTTACATTATTCCCTTTTCTGCAGTCAACTACCTATTGGTCTTAGAGATAGGATTTAGGCAATTGCTTTATGATCTATAAATCTTCAGTGTCATACATTAAATGGAAATGAATTTTGAGGCTAAATGTGAAAAAAAAAAGCATAACTACAAAGGCAATTTTTTTCCCTCTACTACATCAGAAGAAAGCTGGCAGAGTTAGAGGGTCAATAAATAGTCCAGGTATAGTAGAAGCACTGAAGGATGTTAAGGCTATAACAAAAAACACAAATAATCTTTACACATCAGTGTTCACCCTAGCTTTTCTTTACAGGTGACAATTCTGAGGATCTGTCTCAAATCCAGTTGTCAAAAGCAAAGATATATAAAATAAAATAATAAAATCAACAACAAAAAAATTTATAGACCAAGTGATAAAAGGATTCAGAAACTGCTGATCTACTACCTTTTATCTGTAACCTGTTTCTTAATTCAGCCCTGTTACCAAGGGAGTAGAATAAGTCAAGTGTTTGAAAACGTTTTGGGGGTGATGAATAAATCTGTCACACCAGAAAATTGCTAAGAAAACTAGCAAGGAATAGCCTTAACTAGTGTATGGAAAATCTATTGGGAATATGTTCTTGATATGGAGAAAGCTGTGCTGCACATGGCTGTAGGAGCACTTTGGAGCCCTTAAGCAATCAGATCCAGGTGACCTGTATTTGGATCTTTGCAACATTTCTGACAAGTATCCTCATAAAAGAGTCTCAAGGAAACTTAGCAAGGACGAGAGCAGGTAGAAGGTGCCTGAATATAAGGAAGCAAAGGGTAGGGATTCACGTTCAGTTTTCATTATGAGGGAAAAGGCCCCCCAGTGAGTTTCCCAGTGTCTGTTCTGGGACTGATACCGATTAACATAGTCTAGAAAGACTGGAAAATGATTGACTAATGAGATATGAGACTGTTACTTACATGGAGAGATATTCAGAGTAGTAAAAAGTCAAACTAGCAGCTACAAGGCACAAAAGGATCTCACAATATCGACTGACTGGACAATAAAATAGCAGATTAAAGTGACTGTTGATGAATGTGAAAAACTGCAGATGAGACACAAAATAACTTGAGCTCTGTGTATGATACAATTGATTCTAAATTAAATATTACTCCTTATGCTAGTTTCTCTGAAAATGCCAGCTCAGCTGTCAGAATGACAAAGAAAATGTTAGAATTTTTCAGGAAGGAAGAGGAAAAAAAAATTAAAAGCAATATCCTCATTATGATATAATAGGTATTTCTCCCACACCTTGAGGAGTCATGGTGCTGTGCTGATCTGAGAAAAAGGACTGTGAAGCTAGAAAAAGAATTCAGAAGGACAAAAATGTGGTCAGAAGCAAATCATGGGAAAAGAAAACTGAATAGCCTGGAATTTTTCATCTTTTATGCAGGGGAGGGATAAGACAAATGTCTAAAGCCATGAATAATGTGAAGAGGATGAAGAAGGAAAAAGTATTCGTGGTTGCCCAGAACACAGTAGATCAGGGTTCTTGCTGAGACAGGTTTAAAATGAAAAAAAAAAAAAAAATTGGAAGTGCTTTTCACACACTACCTATTTTGGTGAGGGAAATCCCCACAGCAGGGTTTTGTAAAGGCAAATAGAATAATGGGATCAAAAGAAGATTAAAGTCCCTAAAGCACAGGTTGCCGGAAGCAGTAAGTGGTATATCAAGAGAAAAATGTCCTACTTTGTCCAGTCTCCAAGTTTTTCTAAGCATATGTTACTGACCAGGATTAGACAGAAAATACTGTCCTGAATGGACATTTGATGTGATCACAAAGCACTGTTCTTAGGAAGCCGTTTCTGTACCCAGGCCAGGATCTGATAGCTGTCACCACGTGAGATGCTTCTTCCATACCATAAGAGAGCCACCAGGGCACAGTCCATCTGGGATCTCTGCTTGGAGGATCTTTTTCTTTTCTTTTCTTTTCTTTTCTTTTCTTTTCTTTTCTTTTCTTTTCTTTTCTTTTCTTTTCTTTTCTTTTCTTTTCTTTTCTTTTCTTTTCTTTTCTTTTCTTTTCTTTTCTTTTCTTTTCTTTTCTTTTCTTTTCTTTTCTTTTCTTTCTTTTCTTTTCTTTTCTTTTCTTTTCTTTTCTTTTCTTTTCTTTTCTTTTCTTTTCTTTTCTTTTCTTTTCTTTTCTTTTCTTTTCTTTTCTTTTTCTTTTTTCTTTTCTTTTCTTTTCTTTTCTTTTCTTTTCTTTTCTTTTCTTTTCTTTTCTTTTCTTTTCTTTTCTTTTCTTTTCTTTTCTTTTCTTTTCTTTTCTTTTTCTTTTCTTTTCTTTTCTTTTCTTTTCTTTCTTTTTCTTTTCTTTTCTTTTCTTTTCTTTTCTTTTCTTTTCTTTTCTTTTCTTTTCTTTTCTTTTCTTTTCTTTTCTTTTCTTTTCTTTTCTTTCTTTTTTCTTTTCTTTTCTTTTCTTTTCTTTTCTTTTCTTTTCTTTTCTTTTCTTTTCTTTTCTTTTCTTTTCTTTTCTTTTCTTTTCTTTTCTTTTCTTTTCTTTTCTTTTCTTTTCTTTTCTTTTCTTTTCTTTTCTTTTCTTTTCTTTTCTTTTCTTTTCTTTTTTTCTTTTCTTTTCTTTTTTCTTTTCTTTTCTTTTTTCTTTTCTTTTGTTTTCCTTTTCTTTTCCTTTTCTTTTCTTTCCCTTTCCTCTCCCCTAATCTTCTCAAATCTCCTCGAATCTCCTCTCCTTTTTTATTTTCTCTTCTTTTCTTTTCCAAAAGCCTTTCATCACAGTAAGCCAAAATCCAGACCTTTTAGAAGTAAAGCCCAGTAGTAACACTAGGGCATACTGCAGTGAGAGGGTTTGATGTTGGTTGCCTTTTATTATTTGGAAAATTAAGAGGATTTCACCTTCATTAAGACTTGGCATGGAAAATTAGGATGTGTAAACAGCTGTTGTGTATCCACAGTCCAACTGTCTGGTACTGATGCACATCGTGAGCCTTATGGCTACATAAGAGCCAACAATGGCAAGTCCCTCCAACAGGAAGACTGAGCAAAGTCCCCCATCTCTATCAAATATCTGCAGGGCATCTCAGCCTCCCCTTATTTGGGAAGGAGGAAGAAAGACCCACAGATGTATGTCCTTACAAAGTTTGAAAATAACACATATTTGGTAAAGCCCCTATAAGAGACAGATACAAATAAAAGAACAAGACACTTGATCCCCTACCATGTCACAGGACTCATGAAATTAGCTTGGCAGACAGAAGGTGTCAGTAATCTTTGGATAATGTGTCACCATTACCTCAGTAATGTTAATTGGTATTCTAAACCAAAGTATCTTTTATTTAATACCGAGTTATTGTTAGAACTCAGGGATTAATATCAAACAGTAGTCTAACTACGGAGCATTTCCCGTCATGAAGCCCAGATTATGATGGCTTGCACCTTTGCCAAAATTTAGTTGTTGACGTGGACTTTTCCATGTTAATTCTCTGCCTCTGTGCAGAATTTCACATAAAAAATTTAGTCAAGAATGAGTCTAAGAAAACATTGTTCTCCCAGTCAAACTCTAGGACCTGATAAAACCCAGCAACTGGGACCACAAACTTAAAATCTGGTGAGCAGTAGCCATTCTCTCAAGGTATAATGTAAACTATACTGAAAATGTATAGCTCCTAAATGTGAAAAAATCAGGCAGTCTGCGGTCACACTTTCAGGTCTTAATGCCTGTGTCCTGTCTGTGAAATGGAAAGCCAGAATACCGGCCATTACCTCAGGAATGGAGTAAAACTAAATGAAAAAAAAAGTTGGTAAGACACTTAAATGTTTTTCTGAAAAGAAATGGACCCTCTAAGGCAGGCTAGGAGGAGTGCATAGTATACAAGGTGCAAGGCAGACTCAACGAGTAGTGCAGGGAAATCAAATTATCGACAACGCCCTATTTCTTAAAGGTGCTGAATGTGTCAGGATTTTCTGAAAGAGAAGAAAAGACGGTGTTAAACCAGTTAAAGAGTGTACACACATGCACAAGGGAGCTGAATTAAGATTCCACTATCAATGCTAGTTCTCACTGCTTTGAAACTTCAAGTTATTCTCTTAACTACATATGCTGGTGTGCAATTTAAATAGAACCAGCTGAAGAAAATCATACAGTTCTCTCAATTCACCTGTATTTCCTGGACTTTCTTAAATTAGAGAGGACAATAGCATTCTGGGGAAAAAAAAAAAAAAAAAAAGAAGAAAAAAGTGATATTCAATAAAGGGCTTTTAAACAGACCAAGTGCTATTTTTGTCACTATGGACTCAATTATATTTTGTGCTAGTAGTAGTTTTCCAAGAACAGGTATGTCGTCCTTTGTGGAAAATGGTCTGTCTTTGTTAAGGGGAAGTCGAAATCCTTAGCTTGGGACTGATTTGGGTCTCTTGCTTTTTTGTTCCAGTCTCATTTCCAAGAACTTCATTCCTTTTATTTCAGCTTTCTAATTCTGGACTCACTATTACTTCCAGGGGTGCTAATAAAATTAAATGGCAGAGAAAAAGAAAAAAAAAAAAAAAAAAACCCAACAACAAAATCCAAAACACCACCAACAAAAATCCAAGCCAAGATAAAATCTAGAGTCTATTTCAGAAAACAAATACAATAAACTTCCTGTTTATAAATTTATCCATTCATTTTTAACTAGTGGCAAAGCAGAATCTCAGCAGGACATTTAGAAAGTAGTATATCCAGATGGATTCTCAGTGTGAAAGATTTCTGAAATACACTCACTGATATAATAAAACCAGGGTTTTCAGGCTTCCAAAGCAGTGGCATAGAGGCTGTGAGTAAATTTATTTCACAGGAAGCCTGTATCTTGAGCTAATGGGAAAATGTAGGTCTTTTACGTTGCTCTGTATGTGGTAGGTCATAGATATGATAGGATTATAAAGGAAATGGATCTGTGTGCCACAGCCTCTGACAGCCCTGTGCTACATTTCTTGGCCCGTGCCCTAATTCAGAGTCCCAAGCAATCCCCCTTGAGCTAGTCAAGATTTAAGTGGTTCACAGCTTGATTGTGTTGCATCACCTCCCCAGGGGCAAGGCAAACTTGTCAATAACTCCTAAGCACCTTAAACAAAATATGTAAATGCAGTAATTCCTACAGAGAAGAGTGATGGGGGAAGGGAAAGTGTTTCGAAAGAGAAGAAACGTTGTTAGGGGATTTTCAGGGAGGAGGGAGGTGCAGTTTGAAGAGGCCAGACTGCTAGAAGCTCAAATACTAATAAAGAGAATAATAATGCACAGAAACATAAAGGTGACTTAAGTCAAAAGCAAAATGTGTAGGTGATTCTGATATTTGGTATCCAATTATTCACACTGTAAGAAAAAAATATAACAGCCAGGATTTTGTAGAATGGGGTCATCTGCTCGTATCAATTTAAAGATGGCAGAGACTGAAATGTGCTACTGTGTCATGCCCTGTTCCCTCATGAGGAAGACTCCTGTGCCTCCTGGGAAAGGTTAGAGTCCCCTAAAAGAAAATATAACCTCCTATATCAGAGACTTGGGAAGTATAGAGTGAGAAGATGCAGATTAGTGGTGGATCTTGGACCCAGCGTCACGAGCAATGGAAACTGGAGGTGATTTAAGGAGCCCTGCATGTATCAGGCATACATCAGGCAGAGCCTGTGATATGCTCATCCCTGCACCTGCACAAACCGCAGTAGGACTTTGGTTAGTGAGAGTTTGATGAGTGCAAGTGGAGTGTGTATACTTGTATATCTTTCAGGGACCTGGACAGATCCCTGCTGCTCATGGTTTTTTATGAAGAAGCCGCGTTTGGACAACATCTGGATGTCATATGTGTCCCCAGCAGTATGTTGGGAAACCTGAACTCTGAGAAGGGAGCAGAGGTGGAAAGAGGGCAGCTGGTTCCCAGAGTGAAGTCAGACCTTTTCGCCTGTTGTAGCTGATGAACAACAGCTGCTGGGTTTTTTCTGTAAAAAGAGGTTTCTTTGCTGAGAAGAGGCAAGGAGACCTTGGGGTTAACTGGAGACATGGCCAACAGGCATGAGCAGGCAGCCAACTGTCTAAAGAGTGAAAAGGAAGAAGGTGAAAAAGGCCAAGGGAAACTGAAGGAAACTGGAAAGTTGGCTGGAGGGAAGCTGAGAAGAAGAGGTAGGTAAAGACACTGATGGTCATGGGAGGTGGAGGCAGAAGGAAGGATGCTGCTGCATGTGCCCAGACCATGTTGAATTCTGTCTTTCTTCCAGACCATACCACATGAAACCAAGTTTTTGTTGTGTTTAGCCTTAGAGTTGCCAGTTTAGCCTTGTAGTCAGAGTTGCTAGTGTCCCTGTGCATGAGAAAGGCTCAGAATGTACAAAAAAAGCCTGAGTATGTCATGGCATATTTCATGTTGGTGCTAGGCCAGTATCCCTTCAGTCAGCTGAAAAAGCCATCACAGGACATCTGACAGAAAATAACAATGTCACTGAAGGCCCAAGGGGTGCCACATGACTCAGCCATAAGAGGATCAGCATTGTTAGTGTACATGGGGACTTTTTCACTCTGCGTATTGACCTAAAATCGCTTCAAAACCACTTAACAATAAGAAAAGAAGACATTCCATTTTGATGCTGAGCTTCATGGTGAAGTTAATCAGCCATCAGTATTGTTAAGAGAAAAGAAAGTGTGTATATTTGTTACACCTTCTGTCCCTTCCCCAGCTGAGGAGGGGAGCAGTAGAGGGGTTTTGGTTGGTGTCCAACCAGGGCCAACCCACCATAAGAGCGCACAGTTTTCCATAGCAATCCATGAGGTCCTTGAGTATGACAGAGCAACACCCCTTACACTCTTCATAGTGTGGATCTTCCCTAGGAACCACTATGTTGCTCTGAAAGCTGTGTGCCATTGTTCTGTTCCTTTGGGGTATGTCAGTGTCACCTGCAATCGGCAGGTAGGGATGAGCCAGACAATGTGGGGTTTTGTAGATCTCCACATCAGCCACTATGAACCTTTTGTCTTTGCGTCTCCAAAGACAGAGAATGACCTGGCCATAGGGTTATGGAGACACATCTACACCCCTGTGACTACTCAAAAATGGGAAATTAGCTCTGTTCCATCCAACTGGTGTTTTGCACCCTGAGATTGGCAGACTTCTAGGAGATTACATCTCTAGGGTGAGACATGCCAGGACTGCTTCTGGAGTGATGACCGTAACTGCTAGCTCAGGGAAACTGTTGTAGAATTGAATCATTCCCACTCACAGAGGAAGAAGCTGCAGAGCTGCTGGAAATCAGGTAGCAGGGAGTAATTTGCTAGAAAAAAAATCATTGATCCATGGCCCTATTCCTGTCCATTTCTGTAAGGTCCTCAGGAAAGGAGGAAAGACCATAAACCTCATGAATTATTCAGTTAGGTTGGGCCCAATCCATAGATCACTCACTGGCTGTACATGCACATTTGCAATTTTTCTAAAGCATCGCTTTAGGCTTTAATCAGCAAATGAGTGTGTCCCAAAACAGCTGCTTATAGCAAGTCAGTTGTGTTTTGCTGGAACAGTATCTTGCCATCAAATGTAAGATTGGAAAGTTCCCATGTGTACAGTCTTGAAGTTCATGCTAAAATTCCGTGTAAGGAAAAAATACACATTTGTTTACTTGTGGTCGTAAACTTCCTAATTAATCACATTCATGAATTTTATAAAAACAAATTCTTCAGCTCATCAAAGCTTTCTACGAACTCCATTTGGTGTTATGTGGGAACTCAATTTGAAAGGAATCAATCTCTTGACTAGCTACAACTATTATTTAGCTAATAGATAATTCACAAAGGAAAAATATTCCTATTTCAAAAACTTTCAATGCTGCTTTACCATCTTTGTGTCACAGGCAGAAAATAAATAAATACATTTTGTATTTAAAACTCCTTATTTGGATCCAGGCCAAAGACACTGAGGGTTGTCCCCTGGCAGAACTTACACAGTCTGATTGCTGTGCCTAACCCAGGGTACATCCACAGTCAAGTGTAGTGTGAGGTGCTGGATTGAGCCTCAAGTGAATGATTTCCCTAGTAGCACCCAAACACAGCTTAGCACGAGGCTCCATTGAGACATTTGGGTTGCCCTGCATTGTAACGCTGTGTAAGTCTCCACATCGTGCTCAGTACACGACTGCATCTTCTGCCCTGGCAGAAAGTGGGAACAAAATCCTTGTGACTTTGCTTACAGCTTGTTTGCCTGTCCAGGCATATTTTCCTGCTCCTCATGAGCCATGAATCAGGTGTAAATGCAAGTTAATTAATGGCCAGTCTTCGTGAGCGAAGATCCGGGGAAGGTCTTTCCACCTTCCAGCCTGCGCATTGGATTTTTTAGGTGAGACACAGTGTGCGTGGAACTGAGCCCACCCTTTAATCCTAAGGTTCATCTGCCGGGGCCAAGCGAGCTTGGACAGTGGCAGTGAGGTCCTTAGGACGTAGGTGGGTTGCCTTTAAGGGCTAACGAGCTCCATCTGCCCGGGAGTGGCCCTGACCGGGAATCGAACCCGGGTCTCCGCGGTGATAGCGCGGTGCCTTTACCACTAGACCACCAGGGGCTCTATCAGACACTGCACAGCAGCAGGCATGGAAAGAGAGTATCATCAGTACCAAGGATGCTTTCTTGAAGCAAAGACATGAATGACTCGGTCACCTCCTTGCCTCTAAGTGACCTGCAGCAAATAATACAATACATCTCAGCCAAATTCCACTTGGTGCCTGTGGTGGCCAATTTCATACACAGTGGGTTTTATATCCTACCCAATGAAAAAGTTACTTTCATACTCACTTTGAGCTATGATTGCTATGTACAAAGCAATGCAGAATCAGATTCTTCTTTCCACTAGCCTTTCCTGGCAATCAGCCTGCAAGACTGTCCAAATAATTATATTCCAGCCTATTTGTCAAATTGTGCTATGATTTGAAAGACATGGGAGTGATTTCTATTCATTCCTTTTTACCCTCATGTTAATGTAATGTCCCATGTACATTTTATTCAAATTTACATTAAGGTGAAAAGTGAGAGAAACGGATCTCTTTCATTTTGCTCCCTGTTTAACTTTAGCTCCTAATGACACAGTTTAACATGCACATCTGAGCAAATGTCCTTGGCTTACAAGAAAGAAAAAACTCATCCAATTAGCCAAGTAGCTCAAATGTAATTGTTAGGTCACAAAAGTAAACAGATGTTAAATAACTTAACATAAAATATTACAAAGCAGAAACAGATTATTTTGGTTTATTTCCTTTTACTTTGGCTTAATTCCTTACCAGAGCCTTGGCTGGTGAAACAATAGTGGCCCCACGTGAGCTGCTGGATTGCAGCTCCTGACTGCAGTGTCTCTTTCCTCGCTTTACCAGAGCACTGACGGGGAGCTGCCTGGGGTCAAGTCCAAAGGTGGGGGGAAGGATTCAGTGAGAAGTGGACGACGGCCTTCTCCCTGCTGAAGATTGGGAAATTCACAGTGCCCCAGCTGGAGCTCTGGTGTAAAGGTATTGGGATTTTACACGCACCCTCTCCATACTATACTCAACTAGCAGGAAGCAGCTGCTCACTGTCCCCCCATAGCAGAGAATGAGCAATGAAGCCACACATAATACCAGTAGCCCCATGCAGCACAGCTTAAACTCACCCCCTCTGAATTCGACACATCCATCCTCACTGACTGTTACATCTCACTCACCTCACTGTGTTTAATTCTCTCTTTAGGACCACAACCTTCTGTTAACACTCCAGGTGATGTAAACCTTTGGTTTTCAAGCATTTGTAACCCAAAAAGTAGCTTTCTTTTCCTTTTGCATCCAGCTTTGCTGCACTCTAGAGTGTTCTTTTCTCAGAAACTAATTTTCTTCTTTCTTCTTGTATAGGAGAGTTAGAATATAGAGAGATAATGTAGAGATTATAGATAATACATATACATCTATTTGTGTATACAAATACATATTTGTTTATACATATATGCATATATTTGTACATTTTCTATCTATTTATCTATCCATCCATCCATCCATCCACACGTACGTAGGCACATACATAGACAAATACATTCTTTTTCTAGGAGATGTAAAGCAGAAACAAATTGATCAAGCCAGCTGGAAGGGAGACAGCAGGAGGAAGGTGATACAACGCCCTGAACTACCTCGGCTCTCCCGGCTGCTCCGTGTTCCCCTTGCCCGCTCCCGGCTTTTTGAGGATGCGACAAGTCGCAGTGCCGGGGCGCAGCATCCTCGGAGGGGCGTGTGTGTGTGTTCCCCCCTCCTCCAACACACCGCGGCCTCGTCCAATCAGGGCGCTGGGGGAGGGATGCTCGGGGCAGGGATGCAGGGTTGCCAGGCGACAGCAGCGTCCCCGTGTCCCGTCCCCCCTCATCACCCGTGTCCTCCCCCCGGGACCGGGCTGCGCTCCTGCCCGCGCTGCCGGCGCAGTTAAACAGCCGCGGGGAGCCCCGCAGCATGGAGCTCTCCTCCCTCCGAGGGCTCCTGCCACAGCCCCGCTCCCGGCCGTGCCAGGAGCGATAGGCAGCTCCAGAGTGAGAACTAGGAGCGCAGTCAATTAATAAATGGTAGGGATAAGGCGCAGCCGGCCCCTCCGCGCAACCTAGTGCCGGGGGAGGCGGTCTGCGAACGCCAGCCAGCTCCCACTCCCTGCCTTTGTAACTCTAGGTCGCCTCCTAATTTAAAGCTTTGCACCAATCCCCTTTGCCCGGAAAGGAGAGGAAATCTAGAAAGATGCCAGGCTGCGAAAAGGGACCCCAATTCACAGCGCCGGTCCCAGGCGCTGCCTGGCCAAGCAGAGTCAAAGTTGGTCAGAGAAACGGGAAGCGGGTGCTCCAGAGGAGAGGAGAAAGGAAGGGGATCATTGCTTGGTGATCGCAACCTCTCCGTCCCGTTGCCCCCCCCTCTTCTTCTCCTTCCCTCACAACCTTATCTCTGACCGCTTAGGAGGCCTTGATGAGTTTCCATCGGGATCCGATCCAAGGTGGGGGGGAGAAAGGGTGATTGTTCCCAGAGGAAGTAGCTCACACAAGTTTGGGGTGAGATTCCCCGGTGGATCTTTAACGAGCACATCGGGAGGCACGCGATGCCCAGGAGCAGCTGGAGACCCTCGCCAGGACCTACCCTCATTGCACGGTAAGGAGCTGGGCACCGGTATCCCGCGTCCTGGTCCCTGCATTCCACATCCCGATCTCTGCATCCTGCGTCTCAGATTCGTGCATCCCGGTCCTCACATCCCCATATCCCGCATCCCAGTCCTTTCATACCAGTCCTTCTATCCCACACCCTGCAGCCTTGATCCCTGCATCCCGGGTCCCTGCAACCCACTTCCCGCCCCATCCTGCCCTCCGGACTGGATGCAGCCGCTGCCCGGGGGGTTGCGGGTTGTGCAGCCGGGAAAAAGTTTAGAGTGGTGGATTGCGAAGAGGTTTACTGGCCGGATTCGGGGGCCAGGAGAAACGGGGAAGGGTGGAGTGGGAGGGGGCAAGGGCTTTCACACCTGCAGAGAACGGGTAGGGTGCAGGGGGATCCCTGTAGTCCACAGCTGAGGGGGCATGGAGGGGAGGCAGGGGGTGTGAAGAAAGGAGCTATGTCCGGATGCTGCCCAAAGGTTTCTTCTCCCTCAGGGTTTGGGGGGGAAGTGGCAAGATCTTAAGCTTGCCATCCTATACCCTTCCTTAAGCTGGGGTGGAAAGTGCCAAGCCAGCAGCTGGGAGATCCGTGCTGGGTGCCCAGCTCATCTCCCTGAATCTGCTGTTGGGGGAGAGAGAGAGAGGTGGGGAACGTTAAAGAAATTGGAAGTGCTTTGTTCCTCTGGGAATATCTCCCCTGCAGGGACCTGGCTCACCCCAGGATCCTAAAACTGGAATGCTTCAAAAAGGAAGGAAAAATTAGCAGGGATGATGGAGCCAGTGTAAACTCTCCCTCACACACATGCCTGTATATCTGTCTGTCCATGTGAGTATGCAGCCAGCTGTGTAGGTATATGTGTGTGCTTATGGGAGCTGTCTGTGCCTGTGCATGTGCCTTGCCTATGTCCCTGTGTCTTTGGGTGTGTAGGTGTGTATATCCATGCTTAATGTGTTTGCTTGGATGCATATGGATGTATGGTATGTACAGATTCATAGAAATGTTCTTCTATTCCTAGACGGTGTTCATCTAACCCTCTGTAGACCCAGAGGTGTGTGGGTACTTACCTTCCATCCCTCTGTGTGCCAGGCACACATCTCTGCCAAAATACACATGTGGGTGTGAGAAAGTATATTTCTATGCCAGTGTATAGGTAGGATTTGGGGGAAGGGTGTAATTTTGGGGGCTTTATCCTCCCAGGTTATTGTAGTGCTTCAGTATTTCAGTGGATCATTTTATATATCCATCCCTGTATTTCAGTAATCTTGATAAAAGCCAAGCAATTCTTGAAAAACTAGGCGTCTCACCAATACTGCACCGAACTGAACTAAGGGTTTGCTGGTAGTTTGAGTTCCTTGGCTTTTTCTCAGTTTATGCCACCTGCTGAAGATTATTTTAGGTTGTTTTTGTTTGTTTGTTTGTTTTTAATAATTAATTAAATCAGCTTAAAAAAATCTTGAATGGAAAACTGTGAAACAGAACAGCCTGGGACACAGAATTGTACCTATTTCAGCTTGCATAAGTATATGTCTCACGTTGATTAAATATGCATGAAAAAAATTTGAAAAGCACAGGACCCACCTGATCCAATACACATTTTAGGAAAATTACTTTTTTAATTTTCTTCAAATGCACCTAAATCATGATGACTTCTGCTCTTATTTATGTTGATAAATGTATTACAACAAAATGTAGCTCCTCAGTTATATTGGGGAAAAATACATACTAAGCTACTTTTATTCACAATTAAGGTTATATTGGGGAAAATTGCACATCAACTACTTATATTCACAATTAAGGTAATAGAAAAATTGTACTTTTGTGATGTTCATCCTCTGAGTGAAATCAGTAACAATTCATGCAAATCCTTCTTAATGAACTGATTATGAAGGTTAATTTGTGCTTCACTAGAATATTTCATACTTTCTGTGGCTTTTTTCTTGTTTGGTTGGGTTTGGGTTTTGTGTTTTTTTAAGAATGATGCTGTCCACCGCTACTCTCAATATTTCTAGAGCCCTGCATTATATATCAAAAATAAAACACACTTCAAAATAGAAAATCCACCAATTGTTTTACTGCTCTATAACTTAAAAACAAGCACTGGCATTGGTATCAACTGCAGTAAAACTAGACTTTCATCCTGGAGCCAAGATGCTTTTCTAATCACTCTTGATGTTTGCCTGGGTTACTTGTGCTGATGACCTACTTATAAGCTTCTACAAATAAGGGAATAAAGTTTTTTTAGGCAAATGTTGACACCTTGTCTAGGAGTAAGATTCTAATTTTATCATTGAAAGAGTGGATCTAAAGCAAGATGCAGGGGTAAAGTATCTTCTTGGATTCACATAATGTTTTTATAGTTAAATAAATGTGACAAAGCAAAGTACTAAATCAGACTGGAAAGACAAAATAAAAGAAATACATTGCAAACAATGCTATCATTCAGTTCAGTGGTCTGTGTTACATAAGTGGAGCTGAATTTGGAAATGAAGACAGTGTAGGGAGACATACTGGCATTTAAAGAAAGAGCTATTTGGATGCTTGTGTGAACACAACCCACCTATGGAAGTGTCCTACAGAATATACATTGTGGTGTAGGTCACAGAGTCCAATTTAGAATCCTATAAGACATGAATGACCTGGTTCTAATGTTGTTTATGCTGAGTCAAACTGCAATTTTACCTTTAAATATAGTGGGCCAGATTCTCTATTTGTCTACAAGAATTTAGTAGGATCACATGAAGTGTGCATCCACCAAGAGCCTGGTTTAGCAGAGTGATTGGAGAATACAACCTAAAACTTTCACAGGGCATGAGATCCTGTCTATGAGGCTGTTAAACTTGCCAACAGCATCCTGCTGAAGGGAGTTCATTCTCCTATCAGTTTTTAAAAGCTGTTTCTAAAGCCCTATAAAATGTTTATCGGGATTTCTGCTCCTCATTTGCTCCAACTTTTTGTACTACAGTTATTGATTAGGTGGTATGAATTTTTGTCATTGATAAAATCACTCTCAGGTTGCCACAGAACAACACCAAGGTGTTTGACACACTCCAGGATCAGACAGGATTACTGTTTGTGTGGGAATGTGTATAACTGTGGTAAGCTACATGAGCTCTTGTGAAGATCATGTAATATTGACTGTTGGTGGTGGAGGGAGGTGTTCTGCTTATTGATATAAAACTACGAGCTGGTTTAAAGCTTAATCAAAAATGTAGTCCAGGTCAGAGAGTTAAAGAGAAGATTGTCCTCTTGCTCTCTACTAGTGTGGAGAATAAGGCTGTGTTTTAACCCCTGAGTGGGTTGGGTTGCATTTGCAATAGAGGGGTACTCCCAGGCACCGAGAAGGGGTAACCAAAGGGATAATCAGCCACCCTGTCCCTGCAGCCAGTGCTGAATGCCTAGAGCTCAACTGCAGTGGACCTGGGATCCAAAAGCGGCAGGAAAGGAGTGTAGTATCCTTTGGCTGGTACCATCTTCCTAAGTCTCTGCTTCTGACTGTTTCTTGCTATGAACTTAGCAAGACAACTTCTACGGTAGTAATCCAGGCCTAAACTGGCAGAAAAATCTAGGGAACATTTCATTTTACAAAAATACATATTGGCTGAAAATCCTGAGTTTAATTTACTAGTAGGAACAAAATGACAAAAAAATAAGAATTCCTCCTAGGCACAATGATGCTTGGGAACAGCCTCAGTGCAGTTGTCAGGTATTTCCACTGAGACAAAACCACAGTTCATTGTTAGAAGTGTTTTAACTATTGCAGATTAATGCAATTGCCTCTTTCTTCAGGTAAGCCCAGAATCCACTGTGCAATCTAAATAGATTGCTTGGTTTATCTACTGTCTTATGAGGTTTTCAGACATTTTGTTTCAGGGATGTGCAGATTTTCAAAAATACTACAAGAAATATACTGTCTTGTTTCCAGCCTTTTCAAAGTAATGAAGCAAATTTTCATGAGGGTTAAATTGCTGTGAACCTATTAAAGTCAAAAAGAAGAGAATTTACTAGAGCAACAGCAAATTACACCCCCCAAAAAATAGGCTATAGAAG